AGGGGTGCCATTTGAAAAGTTCGACTTACGGGTGGGGCACCCCCCGCCCCGCGCCCCTCCCGCGGTTTGGGAAAATGTCAAATACGCCAAAAGGTGTCCCCCTCGATATAAATGAACACGTCTTTTACCGTTTTTCGAAATTCCGACGCGTTCGGCAGATATTCAAGGTGGCTCGTTTTTCGTGAGACACCCTGTATATGGTCGATGATGAGCTTCGGATGACGTCATGAGCCAAACAACTTTCCCAAACATCGGCCATTTTCGGCTTGTTTGCAAAAACGAAACTGCCAACACATTGTTGAACATCAACCATGTAGGTAAGTCAACAGTAGAATTCTGAAGTCTCGAAAGTAAAAGCTTCCACAATGGCCAAGATATACTAGTGGGGGGTCTCTTGTCTCTGTATCTTCCTTGTGGTGTAAAAGCTACTTTCGGAAGTCAACGCTTAGATTCGTGTTATCTGCCTCGCTAAGGAAGAACGCCGTATGAACATTCGAAGGTTGCCAAACTCCCACCCATACAATGTTCATTTTTGAGGAAAGTTATCAATAACTGCCCTTAAAATTTTCAGATCTCCTAGATTGAAATGCGAACAAAATTGTCAGATATTTTCGAGGAAAAATATTCACCATTTTCATGGTAAATTTATTCGTTATTGAAGGAGAATTGGCAACGTCTTGAGGCTCATACGGCGTTTTTCCTTAGGACGGCAGTAATGATGACTGATGACCAAAGAGTTGAGCAGTTCGTTTAGCGACCCTTACCTCATTTGCTAAAATTCGCCTGGCAAATCGCTCATCCTGACATGCATTAGTCATCATTACAGTCATATTTACAGATATACACAATATAATCAATGTTAAAAGTGGACAAGAGTAGAGTGAACACCCATATGGCTTTGACGTTATGCACACAACGTATACTTACAAGGTGCTTATATAAATGAGCTGAAGAACAGAGACTTAAAATAATTTGTTAATTTACATTGATTCGTGATAAAAATGTTACGACCAATAATATCTAGAAAAAAATGTATCGACAAATGAAAATGTAGATTCTCGAAGCGAAAGAAAATAAAGGGTAATACTCGATAAAAAAGGGTAAAAATAAAGGGAAGATGGATTAATTGAACGTTAAAACAGAAGATCACCGTCAAACCCAACAGTTAAGTTAACCCGATAAAAATAAATAAAAACAAAACCTTACCGAACATAAGGGATTTTCTCGATAGAACGGCCCAATCCTATTTCTGTCGATGAGCGCCGCGAGCTGGGGATAAAAAAACAAAAACCAAAACAAACGTAAGAAAACTGGAAAAAACTAAAAACTAAAAAAATAAAACCCGACACCAAACACAAAAGAAAAAAATAAACACTGAATCAGCCGTTCCATCCACCACCTCGACAAAAAACCAAACGTAAATAGAAAAGGAAAACAAAATACGAATAAAACCCAAAAAATCATGAAAGAAAAATTAGTAAATCGGAATCTTGGATATCCGCAGCGGTGGGTCAATCATTAAAAATCCTAGAAAAAGTATCTCGTGACGTTGATCGACGAATCAAAAACACTTATCTCGATTACGAAGTTTAAAAAACTCCTTTTTATACTTTTAAAAACTAAATATAATTCTTTGAAATTTTTACTGAATATTTTGTACGAATACAGTCTGAAAGAATTTTGCGTCATAGAAGTTGTTACAATCGTGAAAAGTTGGAAGAGGTAAAAATAGCACGAATTCCAGGTTAATTAGTTTTCCTTTGAAAAAATAGAAAGTATAACTAGATCTGGAATGTCAGTAATTCCTGCCTTTTTAACTTCAACCATCGAAATATCACCGCGTAATAATCTAAATCAAAAATCCCAATCAATTAGCTGAGGCACTTTAACAAAGGAGACGTAAAGCTTTAGTAAGCGCGTAATTGAATAGATAGCTTCGCGCAGCTATTTTACAGCACACACTTCTTACTGCGCTTACGAAGGGATCCCATCCGTTTCCTTCATGACGTGTGATGTTACTCGACTTGATCTGAGTAATCTTACTCCAGCAACCCGTGATTGATTACTTATTTCAACGAACTGACTTCGTCCAATATGAGAGGAAAATATTAAAAAAAAAAAAAAAAAAAAAAAAAAAAAAAAAAAAAATCATAGTTTGCATCTATGCATCCAGATCATAATTTGCTTGAGATGACGTCACAACGTAATGCATGAATATTTCGCTACGTAATACGCAATGCTCATTTCTAGGCTTGTTTACGGAGAGGGTAAGTAGACCAAGCTGAATCGACTAAATTCTTCGCATACGAATAGGTCCGTAAACATACAACGTATAAGTTAATATTGGTCCTTGCAGAGCACAGAGATATTTGTAAAGGAGGATATCATTATTATGATTGGACGTTCCAAGGAATGCAAATATTTGATGATTTTTTGGTACTGAGTGAAAATTTGTTTAAAATTGAAAACTCAAGCAGGACTTTAAAGCCTGAAAAAAAGTGTGATCTGGTATTATGAAACCGGAAATCGAGTCACGTTTTATTTTGATACTACGTACTCATATTTTGAGTTCTCCACAATTCACGCAACTTGAGCGAAGTCAATTTGCTGATGAGCCCCGGATTAAGTAAGAATTCTAGCGTTTGAGGGCTCATCAGAAAAATGAATTTTGCTTTCTTTGCTTCAAAATGCCTCAATTAATGTGGCTAAAAAACATTTTCTTGGCCAAAAAGTATTTAATTTTCTAACCATGGATTGTGGGTGCAATCCTATATTAATTATCTAATTATTTTTTTTAGTTTCCTGATTTATTAGCTTGATTGCAAAAATTCCTCTGAAATTGTCACGAAAAATATCGTCGAGTTTCCTATAAAAGTTGAATCTGATCCGAAAAAACTCAGCAACGTTCAAATGTTCATGCGGATTAAACACTGTGTATTTTAGAGGCCTCGCTTTGACGACCTGAGAAATGAAATCGGGTGAAGCAAAAGTTAAATTCGGAGGTCAACGCTATTTTCAGCCTAATGATGGGTGATGAGGCACTTGTTGAGCAGAAAATCAGCTACAATTCACCCGATGATGAATGAAGTGTTTTGTGGAACACCAAACTTAACGTATTCCATGTAGCGGAGGCAGCCGCAGGCGCCGATACCACTATTCAAACTCTCAGGGGCGCATGTTGCCTACTCTTTTAATTGAAGGCGAATTAGTAGGTTTCGCAGGTTTCGTAACCTGTTCTTGGAAGATAGCGGTGCGATGCTCTACAAATCTGATACATCGGATTTATGTACAAAAAAATGTTTTTCATAAAAAAAAAAAAAAATAAAAAAAATAAAAAAAAATAAAAAAAAAAAAACCTACACCGATTGAAAAGCTTTGGCAAATACGCGTTTATAGTGCCGCGGATAATCTGTTCTGCTTAATAACGTCCGATTGAAAGGGATTAAGCGAGCGCGATATATTTGCCGTCATTTCAGTCACGTTTAAGGGTCGTTTCTATGAGGTGAGGGAGAGAGGGAGGGGGCTCCACCGCGGAAGTAAATTCCGATCCGTTCGCACGTTAAAACACTAACAGCGGAGACACGTTTCTTTCAATTTTGAGAAATAAGCTTGGGGGTCGTAAAAAGCTACCCCGGACAGGTATCACGGGCAGGGCAGCCCGCCTTGAGGGATGCTCCGCTCCAGTCGAATTAATGACTCAATCAAAATCCCAGTTCTTTTTATGGACCATAAATCAGCTTTAGTAACCGAGACACGATCGAGTATGCTGTTGCCGTACTGAAAAAATAAATGTCTCTAACACACTAGTTTGAGTCGCGAACTCGTAGATCAATTGGAGTTACTTGACTTTTCTGAGTCCCATACGTATGTTCCGGTTTAGAAATGAGACACAAACAGTATGTTGCAGCCCTAGACAGGCAGGAGTGGGACGCGAAAAAGTTAGGTAACGTCAATATAGATCCATTCGTCCAATGGTCTCCGACGCAAATCGTTTTTTTGCGTATAGTGAACCAAGAAATAGGAAACTCGAAAAATTTCGAAATTACTTAGTACAGTTTCGTACTTTTGTATCATTTGGAAATGTGCCAACGTTGCGTACAAAATATGATTAAGTTTGCATGAAACTCCGTTTAACTATGTTACAAACATGATCAACCACGTGTATGCTGATGGACCAGTTTGCCCAAAATCATATCTGACTCTTTAGTACCTATTTTACACCACACGAGAAAAAAGTGTTAGGGACAAAATTGTGGTGCTACTCCCATTATGTTGGGTGAAATGGGCATTCCTAATTAATTGTGGTATAGTTATATTGCAACTCTAGTTGGGGTATTGCCGCAATATTTGGGTTGGTAACTTAATTTATTGAGAAACTACCACAACTTTCAGCTTCCTAATCAAGTTGCGGGTCTTAACCTCTACCTCTTCTTTCCCCGTAAGAATTGACTCGATCAAAATTTCGCCACAATTTGATAAAACATTCTCAAAGCGAATAATTCTCAATATACATAAGGCACATACACACAAAGGCAATACACAAGGCATATACATACTCATAACTCTCAATATACACAATTGATTAAAAGGCAATTTTTTTCTTCAGTATGTGTAATTTATATTTAAGGCAAACCATTACTATCCCTCGTAAGGGTTTATTTTCAAAGTTACATTACCTATGTTGAATTTTACTCGAGAATCGTTAGAATTACGACATGCTAAGGATCTCCTTATAACCTGCCTTAATTACAAGGTAAACCATATGGGGCTTCCTAGGGAGGGGACCTGTTTAAGGAATAAAATACAGCCTGAGCAATTTCTTCTATTGAACGACGTCCTACGTATACGATAAAACTGAAAACAGATCCTCTGAATTTCTTTGAATCACTGCACGCTATCGTTCGAAAAAATAACCGCCCGAAAAGAAAGTATCATGTGGTGGCAAAAAATTACGAAAAAAAAAACAACCAGGATGGAAGAGAGAGAATAATTCATATTTTTCTTTCAGAAGCAACGCTTTTCGCTCCTCATGACAGAGTGAGGAAATTGGATTAACCCTCCGCCAGGCAGCGGGGCCAGGAAATTGCTTAATGAATCGGCTAATGCGGCCCCGCGTACGGAAAATTGTGCGCATAGATTTATGAGCCACAAATTTTGCTCGGAAAAATTTGTAGTACGGGGGAAAGTCGTGAGGGGGAGGGGATTGAAAAATCGATGACGTTTCACGGAACAGACTCGGCGGGACGGAGGGGAAAGTCTTCGTTAGTGCCGTTCTAACGACCAATTTTTCAATCTGATGGACTTTAATGGCCACGCTACTCGATGATTTGATGGTTTTTACAACGAAAACAAAGAAAAAACTTCCATCTGAAATTCAACCTGCTTCTTGGCCCGTTTCAATTTTATATGAATGGGGTCATTCTGAATAAACGGTCGGATTTGAAAAGGGTCGATTCTCCGGATTTGATTCTACTACGGAAAAATGGTTTTTGAGGTCACAAGTATCATTTGTTTTTGTAATTACTTAATTTTTTGAATTTTACATCGAAGAAATAGACATGTATATTTTCACTTTAAAAAGCGGGCCACTGGCCAGCTCTCGGAATATATGATACATTTTATATAGTGAACAAGTATGGCGGAGAATTTTCTTTTTTGTGCAATGTCTGTAATATTAGACCTGTAACGCCTGAAACCATTTTCCTACATATTTACTCTTTTTTTCTAGACGTAGCTTTTTTTAGTCTCCTGAAAAATCTAGATTTTTAATGTTGACCCCTTTCCGTAATAAACTATTCAAAATATGTCACGCTGAAATTCTGGGTTTCTGACACTCGCAACGCCCTTAAACTTTTCAGGACGTTCTACTGGCATTCCTTTCTTTTAAAAGTTACGCATTTTTCAAAAATGGAACAAAACCTTGTGAAAATCGAGAAGATTAAAGATGCAACTTTAAGGGTCAAAATTAAAGTATTAGTGCTCAAAAATAAGAGACGATAATGAAATATGACAGTCTCCTGCTGAGAGTTTTTTTTAAACATGTAATAATGGATTGATTATATTTTGAATAAAAACTTGGTTAGAGCTATTGCAGACCACTAAATGTACGAGAAATTAACGAAACGGGAGTAATCTTCTTACACACGGGAAAAAGTCAAATAAAAAAGACTACTGGCGCGTAAAAAAGGAAAAAACATATTAAAAAAAAAGAAAAAAACCACGGCTTTTGCAAAATTAAGTCAAAACTGATCTTCGTGTCTTGCTTCCGG